CGGGGCAGCCACAGCTTCTCTGGGCAACCTGTGCCAGGGCCTCACTACCCTCACAGGGGGGAATTTTTTCCATATATCTTAACCTAAATTTCCCCTTCCAGCTCGAAGCCGTTCCCCCTTGTCCTGTCACTCCAGGGCCTTGTCCAAAGTCCCTCCCCAGCTCTCTTGGAGCCCCTTTAGGCACTAGAAAGGCTCTGAGGTCTCCCCAGAGAGACCTTCTCCAGGCTGAACAGCCCTGTCCTGCACACACCTCCTGCCCTACAAGGTGTCCCAGCTCATGCCCCGAACTGCCCCACACGATGCCCTGCTCTGGTGCCATCCCACCCCTCACAGGGTCCTGCCCCTGCACTGACCTGCCCCATTGAGTTGTGCCCTACACAGTGTCCCACCTGTCCCCTGTGGTGCCACACCGTGTCCTGCCCTACACAGCGATATGTCCATGCCATGGCACCTGCTACTCCAGGACCTGGGAGCCTAGGGAAGTGCAGAGGCACCTTTCTGGTTCCCTGGGCCCCAGCTTCAAGTTGGGGAATAATTAAAGAGCAATATTTTAACACCAGCCACGGGTGGTCTCAGTCACTTCTCACCTGCCCCTGTGGCTCCAGCTCTGAGATTTAGGTCTGTTGAGTCCCATCCTGCCCTGGCAGCTGTGCCTGGGGGCTGGGGTCACCCTGGGCTGGAGCACACAGCCCCCAGTTCCCTGGCAGGGACAGCAGCATCCCTGGCAAGCTCCTCTTCTCCTCCCTTCCCTGTGCACAGCATGGCTGAGCTGCAGGTGACAGCGGTGCTGCCTCTCAAGCAGGATATCCCCATGTCAAGGCAGGATCCTGTAGGAGACATTGCCACAGCACAAGTTCAAGTTTAGGCTCTGAGTGGGAAATGCTGTAGGTAACATCAGAAATACCTGCCTTGCTCGCACACTGCAGTGCAAGAATGAGTTGTGGTAGCCTTGTGCCCTGCTGTCTTCTCCACAGGCAACCTGAGACTGGCCCACAGCAAACCCAGCACTTCTTCACCCCTTGGGAGACCTGACAGCCCCAGGCCAGTCCATCTCACAAGTTGTGACCTTGGCTTTGAGCACAACCACAGAACAAAGAGAAAAGGCGACAGCTCTTCTGGGACATTTGTCCCCTTTGCATATCTTTCACTTAGTCTGGGGGAGCTCCATGGGCATGGCCATGGGCTGGGCAGATGTGGCTGATGCTGTGGCAGCCCTGTGGCTCCCCGAGAAACATCCTCAAGCTCCAATCTTCTCTGCAAGTGCTAGCTTCCCTTCTTTCCATGTCCCCATGCCTGTGGGGACCCAGCATCACCAATCAAACCCATATTCCTCAGGTCACAGACATGCTGCAGGAGATCACCACCACCATCTGCTCCCTGAAAACCACTGTTGAAGGCTTCCAGCTGCAGCTCCTGAAGGATAATTTCCAGGAGGTGCATGCACAGAGCTGGGGCAGTTACTGTAGGGCTGTTTGCAGAGTGGTTGGGCTCCCTGGGGACCTCCATGGATAGCAAGGGTGCATGGGGCAATAGAAATGAGGAACTTTGGCAAATCCTTATGGAAAATGCACTGAAGCCTCCCAGGGGCTGCCCTGGCTGCAGTGACCTGCCTGGGTGAGCAACTAGCCTTGCAAGGTTCTTCTGGAAGGGTCCATGTCACTTTCCCAGCCACTGGAGCAGACATCCATCCCTGGGTATCCCACTGTCCCAGTTACCCCACTGCTCTTGTTGCTCCTGCAGTGCCAGGAGGATTTTGCCCTCTAGATTTTGAGGTCCTGGGAGACCCACAGGGCTGGAAATGGCACTGTGGTGGCAAGGTTTGGAGTCTTCCTACCCATCCCAGGGGCTGCCTAGGCTCTCCCCTCCTGGACCAGGGTGGAAAGGCTGATTTCTCTCCCAGGCACAGGTGGAGGTGCACTGGGAGCTGCACTGGAACCCTCTCTGTGGGACGCCCACTGGTAAGGTGCTGCAGGCTCCCGGGTGCCAGGCTCCTTTGCTGGCAATGCCCTGGGATGGCTGGGGCTCTTCTCTCTCCCCAAAACCTCAGGGGCTGTTTGGTTTCAGAAACTCTCTGGTTGGGAGCTCAGTCCTGAGGCCTTATAGGTACTGGTCCAAAAAGCCCCAGGCAGGCTGGGCTGGCTGCTGGAGCAGCACGAGGCCACGGGGATCTGTGTCAGCCACCATGAGCACTGACATCTCTGTCACACCAGGCTGCCATGCCAGGCTGTCCCACCAGACCTTTGCCAGGTGAATGGCAGGGCCACACTCAGCCAGCCCATCCAGGTCCCCAAAGCCACTGCAGCCCCCTTGTCCCTCTGCCCCATGCCCTGGCAGGGCTGTGCCCAGGGCCTGTCAGCAGTGCCAGGGGGTCTCCACAGCCGTAAAGCCGCCTGGGTTTGGGACAGCGCTGTGCTGGGGGCCTGCAGGAGTGAGCACTGTCTGGAGCAAAGCTTTGGTGTGTGTTTTTAGCTGTCTCAGAGACTTTGGAGGATGTGGCTGCCTGTCTGGAGAAGGTGCTGTGTGAGATGAAGCACCTGCAGGATGGAGAAGGTGCCCATCCCATGCCCAAGTGCCTGGGAGCTGCAACCCCACATCCCACTGGCCGGGGACACACAGGGGCATCTCTCAGGATGTCCTCACTAGCCACTCTCTGGGGCCACCCATAAGCTCACCTCCCTGCCTTGCCCGGGTCCTGCAGCCTCCCTGTTTCACCCAGGGCCACATGTCCTCCCCAGGGGCTGGGTTTGGGCAGGGAGGTGCTGGGCCAGCTGCAGGAGCAGTGCACAAGGCTGCAGGAAGCTGTGGGGTGACACCGAGGACACCCAGGTGAGCACAGCCCCGGGCTCAGCTCAGGAGACACTTGTGCCATGGCTGGTGCCTGAACCAGGCTCAGTACAGGCTTGCCCAGACTTGGCACATCCCCACTTCAAAGCAGCTCAGCATGCCCGGATTTTGTGGCCATGCCATGCCCAGAGCTGGGGATGAACAATGGTGGGTGGCTCCAAGGAGGCAAAGGGGAGGGCTGGGGGAACAAGTGGAGCCTGTGTGGGATGGTGGAGCACCCAGCCACGAACAAGGTGCTGCTGGAGCAGGGCTTGGGTGTTGTGAACAAGGAAAGGCACACGGGGTGGTGGCAGGGCTGGGGCTCTGCAAGGGATGGCTGACTCCCTGTGGTAAGTGTCTCTGCTTCTCACACTGAAGCAATGAAGGCCCTCCAGCCCTGCTCCTGGCACATCCTCAAACACAACAGCAACTACATTTTCCCATTCTCATGGGAATGTCTGTCCTGGGTGTGCCCTGGGCCACCAGCCCTGCCATGTGGGCTCAGCCTGCTTGTAAGCACTCCTTGAAGGGCTCCCAGGGATGTCATGCCCCATGTAAGGGCTGTTTGTCCTTCTGCATTGCTGCCATGTGGACAAAACCAAGCTCCTCAGGGGCTGGTGGCAAACTGCACAGGTGTCTGGGCTGGCACCCAGGTGTCATGCCTGGTGTAGTTTGCAGCCCCTGCAGTGCCGTGAGCCCTCCCCGTTTTACAGGGCTGTAAAATGTCATGGGGGGCTGGTACAGGGCTGTAAAATGTCATGGGGGGCTGGGGAGGGGCAGGTGCACCAGGGCTGTGCTGCCAGACCTCGGGGGACTGGTGGAGTTGGAGTCACACTGCCCTGGCAGCCACTCACTGTCGTGGGCTAACACTAGGGACCATAGAGATACTCTGCTGTGTTGCCTCTCCTGTGCCATCCCTGGGGACTCAGCAACCACAGTCTGACACTTTTGGGCTATGCCATGTCCCCATGAGCTCTCTCTGATCAGTTAGATGTCCAGGTCTCTGGTCTAGCACTTGATTTTCCAATCCTATGGCTCCTGGTGGCCCTGGAACAGTCGCAAGCAGCTTCCCCTCCCCACCACCCAGGTCTCCATGTGGCTTCACCTGTGTTTCACAGGCAGTTGTCTCTCTTCTCTGTGTCCCCTGGGTGGGCTCTGGGCACACTCCCTGCCTCACAGACCACCCCCACTCCCAGTAGGACTCCACCCTGGCCTTGACGTGCTCAGGTCACCACAGCTGGGAAACAAGGTGCACAGCCCTGGCTCCTTCCAGATGCCACCAGCTTGACCCATTCCGTTCAGTGGGGCAGGAGTGCAGGTGGCAGCTCC